CCAAACTGGCCAAAGGGATATTCCATACCATGGGATGTCATGCTCTGCATTTAAACTAGGGGAAAGCTGGCTGGGGGGCTGCTGCTCGGGGACTGGCTGGGTATCGGTCGGTTGGTGGTTAGCAATTATTTTTCATTTGCGTTACTTGTCTTTCTTGGGTTTTATTTCTCTCTCTTTTTGTTATTTTCCTTTTCATTACAATTTATTACTATTATATCATTATTGTCGTTGTTGTTATTATTATTATATTTCAATTATTAAATTGTTCTTATCTCAACCCACGAGTTTTCTCACTTTTACTCTTCCAATTCTCTCCCCCATCCCACTGAGGCAGGGGGAGTGAGTGAGTGGCTCTGTGGTGCTTAGTTGCTGGCTGGGGTTAAACCATGACAAGTAGCTACCAAACAGATTGACAGCTACATCATTTTAATGGTGATGAATGGTCCTCTAATACGTTTTGAAAAGAATTATACCTATTACAGATAGGGACACACAGTGTTGCATCTGAAGCAGGTTCTCTGAGACCATTTGTCTCAAAACATACAGTATTTCACTGTAATAGTAAATACAAATATGATGGGATGATACTTTTCATGCATCATAATAACAAGTGTTAAATTAATCTCCTTTGCAGAAGAAATGGGTTATTACTGTCTAAAATACTTTGAAAGAATTTGGAGTTTCAAAACCAAGTTCTTCCACCATATTATTAGAAATAATAAAAATTTTAAGAAACAGATTTATTTCTTAACAAAAATTGTTCTTTGCCATCAGAGGAGGGCTGCATCATACTGCCTATCAGGGAGCAGCAATGACTGGCTGGTCTTTGAGGGCCGGGAGAGAAGGGGGATAACCTGAATGGCAGGGGAGGGACCTTGCCAGCTGATGTCCATCCTACTGTCCCCAAGGGAGGCAAGTGGGGCAGGCACCAGAGTGATAGTCTAGTTCCACTGAGAGTCCAAGTCATCAGGCAGTTAAAGCCTATTAGTGAACCCAGGACCTCAACACTGGTTACACTAAATAACAGTAGAATTTCTGCTCAATTTGTATTAATATATATCTTGTTATACTTATTTTTTCGTTCTGAAACATTTTTGTATTTTGCTTCTTCGTATGATAGCCTTGTATTAGAGAAATACTTAGATTTTCTTAAGAAGTTACTATTGACTATCTAAAACAATATTTGAAAACTGAATAATCAAATGTTGCTTTTTGCCCCATAAACCAAGACTGAAAGGAATAATTACCTTGTTTTGACAAGCGAACTGAAGAAGTATGACATAGAAGTCTTACAGGAATGTATACATGAAAACTAGGCTGTCATGTTTACAAGGTGATTTTTTTTAATATGATGAATTTTTTAAAGAGTAACTGGTCTGTAAACTATACTGATATTAGTCTGAGGAACATAAGCTTCTTTTGGCTATCCGGTAAGGAAAAGAGTTAGGAATAAATATAAAATTTTGATTGTGCAGCTATTTTATGAAAACTCTGAATCATTCCAAGCTGTTACTATTTTTGCATTACATGTATCTATTATACAGTACATTTTACACCAATTATTGACTGTTCTGCAAGCATAGTTGAAGAAAAGATGGGTTTGAGTTACAGCTATTGAATGGAGTTGGCATCACATTCTGTATGAACTCTGAGCTATTTCTGAAGAGAAAAGGGAATGGATTTGTGTGACCATGTCTGAATATACAGGAGTGAACAACTGTATTTTCAGTATTCCTTTTAAGTCAATTCTGTAAAGTGCTGTTTAATGTTTTTCCATTGGTTGCAGAATCTTCCCAAGTTGGCCTACTGTTTTTTGGCCAGAACAACTGACTGAAGTATTTCAGCATTTGGGAGAGTGCTTTTTAACTTCTACTTTTAATTACAGTGTCTTTAATTGCAATAACATCTGTTAAGATACTTTGAGTCTTATATTCAAAGACTGATCTTCTCTTAATGTGTTACATGATGTATTTGATTTACATCCAAACTTTTTAACAAGAAGGGTGACTGAGATTCAGCTACATCCAAAATGTTGAAAATCTTTGAATTGTTATCTGCAGAGGGGTATTCTGTAGCTTCTGAGAATTTAAGAAAATGATATATCCATGAAATATTTCGTAGTGTTGTGCTGTTAATTCAGATGTGTGAGATACTAGGCTCTAAAAGACCTTCACGTTTGTTCTAACTTTGTTTTGAAAAAGCAATCAGTAGTGTTGTTTCTGCTGAAGAAATGTGCAGTTCTGCTACTTGTAGGTCTACATTCATATTTGACCAAAACTATCATCTTGACCTTGCATCTTAATCTGATGTTCTTTTGGAGCATGTGTCTTGTAGACGGTTCACTTAGAAAACTCTGAATCTATTTTTCTAGCAGAGCCTCAAGGTAAATTTCCAGCTAACACTGTAATTGCTTCATAAAAGAATATTGCTTGTAAGAAAAATTGTGTATTTATTATGTGGGCAGCAGGTCGAGGGAGGTGATTCTGCCCCTCTACTCCACTCTGGTGAGACCCCACCTGGGGTACTGCATTCAGCTCTGGAGCCCTCAGCAAAGGAAAGACACGGACCTGTTGGAGCAGGTCCGGAAGAGGGCCACGAAAGGGATGAGGGGGGTGGAACACCTCTCCTGTGAAGAAAGGCTGAGAGAGTTTGGGTTGTTCAGCCTGGAGAAGAGAAGGCTCCGGGGAGACCTTATTGCAGCCTGTCAGTGCTTCAAGGGGGCTTATAAGAAAGATGGGGACAGACTTTTGAGCAGGGCCTGTTGCGACAGGACAAGGGAGAATGGCTTTAAACTAAAGGGGGGTAGATTTAGACTAGATATAAGTAAGAACTTTTTTATGCTGAGGGTGGTGAAACACTGGCAGAGGTTGCCCAGAGAGGTGGTGGATGCCCCGTCCCTGGAAACATTCCAGGTCAGGCTGGCCGGGGCTCTGAGCAACCTGATCTAGTGGAAGATGTCCCTGCCCACGGCAGGGGGGGTGGACTAGATGACCTTTAGAGGTCCCTTCCAACCCAAACCCTTCTATGATTCTATGATTAATTGATTGTATTTTGTTGCCGAAATGTTGTGTGCATCTGAATAGTTACATTTGTCCCTCATGTTGCTACTGCAATATGAATAGTAGTATTAAATACTAAATAGTAGACATGAAATATACTGAAATATATTAAGAAGTTTCCACTTTATATGTAATTTTTTTTTAACTTCAGTAGCAAGTCATCACTGATTATAAAATCAATTTCATTATTTCTCAAAAAAGAGAAAACAGAAAAAACAAAGAGCAGAAAAAATAACTCTGCTAATGCTTTGCTTCCTATGTAAAGGCTCCTGGGATTTAGTGACTTAGTTTGAGTAGGCCAATGGATTTGACCTGTGTTTTGGCAAAGTATTTGTTGAGGACAGTGTGTACAAAGCAAGATGACACTTGTTTTCTGGCACATTATAGTGTTTTGGTCTGGATTTTTATGTTATAATTACTTGCAACGATGTGCTTAATTTCCAGAAAGCAGTTACTCCTTGGACAGAAATGATAAGCACACAGAAAATAAATTTACCCTCTGTCCTGGTTTTAGCTGGAATAGAGGTAATTTTCTTCCTAGTAGCTGGTACAGTGCTGTGTTTTGGATTTAGTGTGAGAACAATGTTAATAACACGCTGTTGTTTTAGTTGTTGCTGAGCAGTGCTTACACTAAGTCAAGGACTTTTCAGCTCATCATGCCCTGCCAGCAAGAAGCTGGGAGGGGGCACAGGCAGGACAGCTGACCCCAACTGGCCAAAGGGATATTCCATACCATGTGACATCATGCTCAGTATATAAACTGGGGGGAGTTGGCCAGGGGGCGGTGACACTGCTCGGGAACTCGCTGGGCATCGGTTGGCAGGTGGTGAGCAATTGCATTGTGCATCACTTATTTTGTATATTCTTTTACCATTATTATTATTTTCCCTTCCTTTTCTGGCCTATTAAACTGCCTGCCTCTCAACCCACGAATTTTACTTTTTTTTCCCCGATTCTCTCCCCCGTCCCACTGGGGGGGGTGGGGTGGGAGTGAGCAAACAGCTCTGTGGTGTTTAGCTGCCTGCTGGGTTAAACCACAACACCCTCTAATGTATTTATTTATTTTTGTAGTTTCCAGTTATAATAGTGAGAATTTTCTTTTATAAATCTTAAAAAAACCCAATAATTAAGAAAGCTACTACTCTGATTAATGTAAAAGAACTTATTTTTTTAAAACCAATAAAGTAGAAGATATGAAATTTATCTCTGCTTTTATTTTACAGGCGTCCCTCTCTGTAGAACTCTGCTCAGAAGCATGCACAACGTTTACTATTCAACACTGATTTTATAATTCCCTACATAAACGCTTCCCTTATTAATCTGCATATTTCCCAGGAACAAAATGTTGTATATTTTGATAAGTATAGTCTGATTTTTTTCATTATTTAACCACTTGTCTGTATCTATTTTACAGATTCTGAAAATGGAATGGGGAGGAGAGTATTCTCTTGATTCTTCCAATTTAGACTGTTTGTTAAATGTCCTTCCTGGAGAATTGGAGTTTCAACAAATCCTTAGTGATCTTGATGAAAAAATAAAGAAGAACTCTTCTAGGTAAAAAGTATTTTATTTGTATCCAAAATATTAGTGAAAGTCATTCCATTTAGGAAGAAATACGGCTTTTCTTTTCTAGTTGTAGGTTAAAATTCTGATAATTATTTTGGTAGTAATTTTAATTTAACCACGTGAGCTTTTAACAAATTTTTAATGTCATATAATTTTTGTGCTGTAATATTTCTCTGTATGGTATTTTTAACAGTTGAATCATCTTAATCTTAGGAATTATTGCAGTAGGTGTTATAGTGGAGGAAGAAAATGTGTATTCCCATGACAGTTGTATTTCCTACAGCTACGAGTTTTTTTTACGAGAATTTTTATTCCCTAAAAGAGCTGCAGAATTTTACAAAAAAGCAAAATTTGAAGTCAGTATGGTCTTTAAGCATTTCTAATGCAAGTAGAAAAAGCAAATAAGTTAATATATATAATCTTTCTTATATAAGCCATTATTTTACCTATTTCAGTTAAAACTCTTATGCTGCAATAGAAGATTTTCTAAATAGAATTTATTTTTTAATATATTTCATTGTCCACTTCTTTGTAACACACCGGTTTTCAAATATCAATGCTATAGAAACAGTGGAGTACTGAAAGAGTTCTTTGTTGATGTGTATTTTTTGCATGACTACAAAAAAAATCAACTCCAGGGTTTGTGCCTTATTTGAAAAGTGATGGCAGTGTTTCGTGGCTAAACTCTTTAGTACCTTTAAAATACTTTGTTCTATGAAAGATGCTCTTAAGCAAATAAACTAATTGCCCCTTTAGAAAAGTAAGTGTACATTCAGAGATATAACAAGTAGCAGACTTTTGTATGAAATTTTGAAAATGCTTGCATTTGGAAAACAGTGCACGTTATGGAGTCATATGATTTCAAAGAATGCCCTTCGTGACATCTGTTTTAAGATTGTGTAATTTTAACAAAGCCCACATTTTGACCCTCCATTTTGGAGGTCTTTGTCTGCTCCCGAACAGCTTCCTGAAGAATGGAGATAAACCATTGCTGTGTCTCACTGAAAACTGATTTCGGTCATCTCTGAATTATTGTTATATTGCTTATGTCAGGCTGAGACATTTTTCAGGCTTTTTATTTATATTACTCATGTCTCACATTTTGAACATTTTCATTTAAAAACTTAGTGTTTACAAATGTAGTTGCAATAGTAATAATCCCACGGTAGCAATGATAGTGAAGATCTGGGAAATATGCTATTGTGGACCACTGCATAGTGTGATTTCATATTAAAATTTTTCAGCTGTTGACATCAGTGAAATGTAGAGACGTAGAGTTTAGTTGATGTCATAACACAGTTACGGGTACTTATGTTTTGAGTTGCTATGTTCTTATATATCTGGGAAAAAACAGCATCAGCATTTTTGGCAGATGTGTTGTCACCTCTTCAACTACCAAATAAAAGTGATTTTGTCATCATTATGCAGAGCCAGCCTGAGAATTAGAAAAATTATTAGCAAAATGAGTCTTTGGAATGCATGCTTTAATACTCTTTGTTTTTAATGACTGTAAAATGTATGCTGCTGGCTGAGAAAACTTTTGGCTATGGGAAAGCAGGCCAGCTGTTCATTCAGTACTTTATATCAGTTAACATTTTATGTTACATTTTTACATTAACATCATCACAGTGGAACTATTTGTACCTTTTTAAGAAGGCTGATTGTCCCCATCTTAGGGACATACAAAGTAGAAAGGCCCTTTGCTGTAAGTTTTGTAAGATCCAAATGGTGTTATATCCAAGGAGAGCAGGAAATTGGATTAGGGTGTGGTACACAGCAATGCATGTCAGGAAAAGCTTTGTATTTCTGCTGAATAGACACTAGTTTTTAAACTAACTTTCACAAGGAAAATCAGAAAGTAGCGCCTGTAGTTACCACTGATATTTTGCTCCTGTAATATGTCAGTTTCAGAAATGGAGAGGAGTTTAAAAGAAGATGGACAGCAGCTGATGTGACTTTTAAATTAAAAAGAGTCCTTTTATTGCTAATATATTAGAGGTAGCATGGAATGAAATCATTTTCAAGTTACCATTGATCTTTGTAAGTGGTATGATAAGAGCAGCTCTATGTGCTACAGTGATACAATTGGAATACAATCCATTTTTCATCAGATAGATTTATGATTTTATTATACCACAGAGAATAAACATAATAGTATACAGCATATATATATTTTTAAAAATAAAACATTGTGTAAAAAATTATGATCCAAAAGTGTGTAAATCACTTGAATGCTCATTTATTGCCTTCCAACTGAATAGCTTTTATAAAATTGTGTGACACGACAAATCAGATATGCTTTCCAGCAGTTGAATTACCTTCAGTATTTTTGTATTGTACCAATTCTATTTGGTGCTATAACAAAAAAAAAAAAAAGGCCATCTGTGTGAAATTGTTTCATTTGCAAGTTTTAAGGGAGTAAATGGTTCATTCATTCACTATTGTATAACAGCGCTCTTATTATACTTGAATGTTAACTTTATTTTTACAGCAGTTTATAGAGGCAGGTGAATATGAACTCTCAAAACCATTGTCATTGCTGGCCAGTTTTATATGCGATGATAGTCTCGGGTTATTCTAAAGCGTGAAGTTGCATTCATAATTTCATCAGGATGGCCACTTGTCTTCAGTCATTCCCCTCACATTTGCTTTGACTTACACTGTTTATCAAACCTGATTTTTTGGATTTTTTTTTTCCTAATACGGAGAATTAGAATTAGTAAGAGTTAATTTTTGAGCAATCCACAGAACTAAACTTTCAGCTGATATTTGATACTTCTAAGCAGAAAATAAGTTAGAGGGCTTGAAACCAAGCTTATAGTGCATAACTTCAATGTGATTGTAAGCATGAAATCTCTTCAGTTGATTTTTTTTGTGTATCAAAAAAGCCAATCAGTTCTTCAGTGAGTGATTGGCTGCCTTTTAGTGGAGATAAAGTGGTGATAAATTCTATGAGGCTGTAGGACAGTGTGGGCTATTCTAGGTCTTCTTCAACAGAACAATTACTCAAAATTCAACAAAATTATTTACTGATAATTGTATCTCCACAGTACACTGGAGACTATGTCTTTGTAAGGCTTTTCGCAAAGGCTTAATTTGACGTCAATCTGATAAACTTCAACCTGACCCTCTGTCTATTTAACAGTAATTCAGTCATCTGGGATTTTGATGAAGGTCTTTTTTCAAGGGCTCCTGTGAGGTCAATACTAATAAGTGCTTACAGCATTGCATCTTGTCCCATAACTGTTCAATATAAATTGCAATCATTATTTGAGCAACTAACAAGATCCTTAACTTGCGAATAATAGGACTATCTGGCAAGTACCTCAGTAAGGATGTTAGTATGGCATTTTCCAGTTGTTGATTATAACTTTGCTGATTTGCATAGAAATACCTCCCAGTATCAATACCTCACAATGAAGGGATGGAGAAGTTTCAAACAGGGTATTAGGCACTGCTGTCTCGTTCTATTTTCCTGTATCAGAATTGGAGTGTGCAAGGGCTCATGTGTTTTTAAACTAACATGTGCTGCAAGAGTTATCTTTCTCTATTTTATTTTGAAGAAAATCTTGGCTTATTGCTCTCTGGAATTTCCAGGAAGCAGCTTGTCGTGGTTTAACCCCAGTTGGCAACTGAGCACCACGCAGCCGCTCGCTCACCCCCCCACCAGTGGGATGGGGGAGAGAATCGGAAGGGTAAAAGTGAGAAAACTTGTGGGTTGAGATAAAAACAGTTTAATAGGTAGAGCAACAGTCACGCACGCAAGCAAAGCAAAACAAAGGAATTAATTCACTACTTCCCATCGGCAGGCAGATGTTCAGCCATCTCCAGGAAAGCAGGGCTCCCTCACGCGTAACGGTGACTTGGGAAGACAAACAGCACCACTCCAAACATTCCCCCCTTCCTTCTTCTTCCCCCAGCTTTTATACTGAGCATGACGTCACGTGGTATGGAATGTCACATGGTATGGGATATCCCTTTGGCCAGTTTGGGTCAGCTGTCCTGGCTGTGCCCCCTCCCAGCTTCTTGTGTTCCTCCAGCCTTCTCAGTTGGTAGAGCATGGGAAGTTGGAAAGTCCTTGACTAGTATAAACACTACCTAGCAACAACTGAAAACATCAATGTGTTATCAACATTGTTCTCACCCTAAATCCAAAACACAGCACTGTACCAGCTACTAGGAAGGAAATTAACTCTATCCCTGCTGAAACCAGGACACAGCTACACCTCACTTCCTTGGTATTCAAGAGAATTAGCAAGATCTTGGCATCTCCATCCAAAATCCCAGTAGTGGTTGAGTGTTTGCTAGAATTTCAAACTAGAGCTAATAGTAGAGGAATAAAATTGGTAATTTTATCAGTTTTACTTGGGCATCATATTTATCACAGCTCTCAAAAAGAATTTGACTCTTCTGTGTGAACGTAACCTGCTTGCTGTATGAGTGTATTACAGTAGTATTTAGTTGATAATTTAGTGCCTGTTAAGATATTAGAATAATATTACTAAATTCTTCGATGCAATAGTATCTGTCTACCCACTGCCCAAGACTAATTGCTAGGAATGAGTAATTAAAATGAGAAAGGAATGTAATTTTATTCCTATTCAGCCTGTGTTGTCTTTGTGTATGATCACTGAGTTCAGGATAGTTGTTGCTTATCACCTTACTAGCTGGACAGCACAGAGTTTCTCAGAAATTGGCTATTTTAACAGACACACAGTTTCTTAACTCCAATCTGCAGTGATTATAATTGTGTCAGTATCTTAGGTAGCTGGTTAGTTGTCACATACATCTACAGAAGCTGTAATCTTTGACTGTGAAATATTCCATTTCATTTCACATGAGGATACAGGAGAGAATGTTTTTTTAGCCATTGTTTTTCACTATCATGTTTTGGTCAATGGAGTTGAAAGACTCCTGTGTTTCACTGCCAGCCTTCTGAAATAACTTATCAATGCACAGCTTACATCTTGTGGACTGAAATATCTCAA